AAAAAGTTATTTCCAGTATTAGCTGGCCCCTAGTTTCAACTACAATTGAAAGATGTAGGTAGTAATTTATCAACTCTCATTTTGAATATCTCTTTTGATATATTTTATTGGTTAAACGATTTCCGCGTATATTTTATCGTCAAGTTATGTTGTGTAATTTTAAGGGCGAATTTTATATTGCTGTTGTTTTTTAGAGCGGATGGGTCTTTAATATTTTGATTCTAAAAGTTTTATAGATCAAAATTTTTATGACTGTTCGCTTTCGGCTTAATAGGGTTGATCAATTTTTTTTTCGCCTTTATGTCACTCGTTCAGTTTTTGAGGTTATTTATAAACATCATCTAGGCTAAGGGTATGAATTTTTATAGATATCGTTTTCGACTAATTTTTTCAGCGTTTTATTCCAAAATCATTTCCTTTTTTTGCTATCATCATCTTGTAATACAATGTTTTTCTTGTATAGCATTTGTTGCGAATTTCCGCTTTGCCCGTGTTTGTTTTGCGTTTTCAGGAGAAGAAAAAGTCTTACAATTTGATCACGTCCAAGTTTTACGTTCAGTGGCTTGAGAAAGAGTAATGAACGTAGTGAGTACTCTTATATAGGTGTTTTTTGTTTTTTTTTAAGGAAAATTCTAAAAAAAACTCTTTTTTCAGGAAAAAGTTCATTTCATGTTTTTTGTTGAAAGGAAGGCAAACTTAAGTTAGAATTATCAAAAAAGGGGCAAACATGGATTAGTCATGAAAATCAAAGAGCTCTGAAGTCATAGTTTTTAAGAATTCGCCAGGTGAAGTTCCTACTCATTCGCCAAGTGTTTTCCTACTCATTTGGAAGAAAGCGGTGACAAAAAATGGTGATACGCTCAATTTCAATTGTATTTAAATTCAAGCGTTTGGACCCAATGTAGCTTAAGATGCTCATAGAAAAAGACAACAGATATCTTCAACGCGAAAAAAAGGTTCTGGAACAAACTCGATGTTCGCAACATTAGCTGAATGATTTGTTGGTTGCGTGGCTGGCTAAAAATATAGACGAATGATTAGCTGATGGATGAAAAGCTGAATGGATATACGGACTGATAGGAGGCTGGATGGTTGTTTGGCTGGGTTGATGAGTCGATGGTTCAACGAGTAGACGGATGGAATGATGGATCGATGATAGGAAAGATCGATGGAAGAATGGATCAATGACTGGATGGATAGATGAATGGACGGCTGTTTGGACAGATAGATGGGTTTATGATGGATGGCTAAGTGGATGCATCGATGGATAGATAGATGACTAGATTAATGCTGGCTGGATGAAAGGCTAGTTGAATGAACGGAAGGCTGATAGATGGACGTCGGGTGGCTAGATGGCTTGATAGATGGTTTCCTGGTTGAATAGAAGGACAGGTGTGGCATGGCTGGATGGATGGCTTGTTAGAAAAGCAGATAGATAGATAGTTTGATGGACGATTGGCGGCCAGTTGGATGGATGGATGATAGATGGCTAGATAATTGATTGAATGGCCAGCTGCTTGGAAAAACGGAGGGTTTGATGGACGTATGATTGCATAATTGGCGGTATAATTTAATGACTTGACAGATGAATGAATGGCGGGATAGATGGATGGCTGGTTGGATGGACCGATGATTGGGGCTAGATGAAAAGATGGCTTGTTGTAGGGATGGATAGATGGCTGGATACATGGATGTTAAGTTGGCTGGATATATGGATGTTAAGTTGGCTGGTATGGCTTTGGGGTGACTGGATACATGTCTGGCTGGAAGTTTGGATGGATAGATAGATGGCTGGTTGAAGTGATGGACGAAAATTGACTAGATGTATGGATGATTGCTGGCTTGGTAGAAGGACGGATGATGGACGGCTCACTAGATAGATTCGGCTCGCTAGTTAGAAGAACGATTGAATGAGTGGCTGGTTGGATGGCCTGATGAACGAATAGTTAGATGGATAACTGGATTTGAGATGGCTAATTGGATTGATATATTGATAAAAAGCTGGGCGACTGGATGGAAGATTGAATGGGTAACTTGTAAAATGAATGGCTGGTTGGATGGATAGATGACGAGATATTTGGTGGGTGCATTGAAGGCTAAATGGCTGATTGTATGAAAAGCTCGATGGCTGGTTGGGTAGATGAATGGCTGGCAAGATAGATAGTTGGATTGATGGGTGGATCGATGTATCACTGGATCCCACACCTACACTGCTCAATTTTGTCTTCCGCTGCCTTCCCTGGTGCTGACTGTTTTGAGCTATCCTGCTTGACACTCCTTTTCACGCGCTCCCCCCCCCCCCTTGCCTTGCGCTCTCCTGTTCTGCTCCTCCTTGAGTTGTCATGCTTTTCGCTGCGTTGCCTTGCGGTGACCTGCGTCACCTTGAGCTGCCGTGTCTTGAACTGCATTTGGCTGTTGCATTGCCTGAATTGGGCTGCCTTGCGTGCATCGCGCTGCCATGCCTCAAATTGCACTTCTTTGCCTTGCCTAGCAGTCGGCTTGCATTCATGAACTGGAATTTTGAAATGTTGAGGCATTGCAATATAGGATTAAGCATGCACGTTCAACTTTTTGGTTTGTTGCTGAAAGCTCAAACGTTAGATATATGATGTAGGTTAAACATAGGGATATAATGGTTGACGCATTTAATTATATTATAATTTATCTGTAACAGTTGCAGTTAATTACCGTGCTATTTATGATATGCACGTTAAATAATTTTAACGTTAAATTACTAGGTTAATTTTCTTAAGCTCAAGGAATCCGGCAGCTTTGCAGGAAAACATAGTTGTCAAATAAGTTTTTTTGTCTTTCTGTGACTAGAGGAAGGGATTAAAGTTTTGAATTTTTTAGTTTTTCTCTTAAGTTTTTCCCCCTGTTTTTTTACCTTTTATTCTTCTTTGCTCGTGGTTTTCAGCAGGTTGATTTTGGAGCCCTAGTCAAAATTTCTATCGGAACCATCAATACATACATAAAAGATGTTTTTGTTTGAACTGTTTATCTTCCTCTAGATACCTTAAAGTTACTTGCATTTAGTTACCTTTTTGTTACGACCATTTGAAAATAGTCGGAATTTTGTATTCGTGTGCTTCTTTTCTTGTTCTCCACGAAAAATCAGGTACCACAGAACCATCTGACTTGGTTCAAAGAAATATCATAATACAGCCCTTCAAATCGTGATTTGAAAGATATGTAAAAAAAAATGTCGAAAAATGATCCCAGTGTCGAGAAAAACCGCTTTAAAATTGCCTGTCTTACTATGACTGCCGAATATGGCCACTTCTTTTTTTTTTCGTTCAGTTCTTTTTATCATTCCACCCAGAAAAAAACGACACTAATTGGAAAAAATTGGTTTTTGTATTTTTTTAAGACTATCGTCAGAACATTCTGTGCTACTTGTTTTGCTTTATAAACAATTATAAAAAACTCTATTACTCGTTTCGCGAATTTGGCGCAGAGTTAACATCATGCGCTAGACAACAAGGCGTTGAGTTCATTTCTGGGTGCGTTTGGATTTGTTGTTTTTTAATATCTTCTGTTTGCTTTTTTCGGCTTACTTACCGCAGCAAATTTTCGAAATTTGGCTTTTTTCAGCATTCAGAGTTCTCTTTCTGAAGTTCCGAGTGGTCTAGGTATAAATGTTCTCCGATTTTCTTGTTTAAGAAAACTTTTTTGTATAAATGTTTGTATAGAAGGGCTGCTAAGTCAAATTTTTTTTTCGATTTGCATTAGTTTTAGGCTAACTAGCTTTGTGGGTCTTGAATCAGTTTTGTAACTTTTTATAATAATAATTTCATTTTCAAGCCATAACTTACAACCATACTTTCTATGATAATGTAGTTTACAATTAAGTTCGGCTTGGGAGAATACCAAAAAGGCATCAGCCTGTTGGGTGGCATCTCCATGAGCAAAATCTATTCGTCTACTTTTTAAAACTTTGTCAAGCAATCAATATAACAAGCAAAAAATAGTATAACAATTTTATAATTATTTTAATACGATTTTTATTTGCGCTTAGCTTCAACTATTTCAGCTTCATTTGCTTAGGTATAAGAACATCGTAGGAATATCTGGAAGTAAAAGTTCGCAGCGGCGAAATGTGTTTCGAGTCGATTGCGTTTGACAGATGTTTCAGCGTATATTTTTCGGCTTCCTTCCTTAATTTTATACTGTTAAGACTCTTGAACATTGAAGCCTTTTTACAGCAGAAATGTTCCTCGTTTTCATTCAAATTTTTAGTTTTCAACGCTAAAATTTAGAACATGTTTAGACCATGTTTGTTTTTTTTGGATCTTTAAATTTCTGCGCGAAGGCTTTTTCCAATTACTGTGTTCTTTTAAAAAGTTTCGGTTACCGATTCGAAAAGACTTAGTCAGTTGTGTTGTTTTGCGTGTTTTTAAAAAGATAAATTGCAAATGGCGTGAGGAAAACAAAGTTTACTTCAGTTTTAAAAATGAATTTTTGTTTCAAGTTTTTCCACCGGAATAAAAAAATAGATATTTGGTCTTTTTTTCCGAAATTGGGTAAAAAAATTGCTAATGCTGTATAAGATTCTTGAAAACATTCAAAACGATATGCTTTTTTTGAAACATTATTCCAAGACATCCAAGTTACATAATTAATTGGATACGTTTTTTTTTTTCAAAAAAATCGATCTTTGTTTTCGGTTTTCATGGAGACGACATTTTTTTCATGCAGACGATTTGTTCGGAGAAATACTTCAAGCAAAGCTTATAATGATTTACCTGCATCACATTTAATGATTAGTTTGTTGAATTTAATGCTTTTGTAGCGTGGTTTTTTGACATTAAATCTTTTTCTGCGAAGCTTCGTTTACTCTAGTTGAGCTCTGATTTTTCGTTCAAGAATCATAAATTAGCCATATATTTTATCTTTGCAACTCGAAAATTCAAAAAACTTTTCGAAAAAGTTTTTTTTTCAATATCTTTGCGTTCATTGACATTTTTCCAACTGGCTGTTGACTATGCTTTAAATTTCAGGTGTGTAGAACTGGTGACGTTGCTGCTCTGAAGGTTTTGTTGAGAAAAAAGAATATGGTCAAATCAATTAACGTGCTCGACAACTTTGATCTCTCAGCTCTGCACTATTCGGCCAAGTACAACAACTACCAATGCGCGAGGCTGCTCATAGCCAAAGGAGCCAGTGAGTGTTTTTTTTTTCTTCAAAAAATCAACGTTCTGTTAAATTACATTACCATTTTTCTGTATGTGTATTCAATCTTCAAAAACTATGACGTAGTTTTTTTCTATGACGGTGTCTTTCTTTTCTATGACGTAGATAATTCTAAAATCTGTAGTTTGAATGTCATTTATCTGCGTAAAATTTTTTCTGCTGGTCTTTCTGATTTAAACGGAGCTAAAGGTTGAATGATATTGAGTTTAACAGTTCCAAATTTGATGCTCTAAGAATTTGAAGTGTTAATATCAATTATGATCAGGCAGCAGATTTAATAGCAGTCTTTTGTCAGGATGGTAGCGTGTTTGGTAGGGCTAAATAATACCCCTCCCCCATGTTGTGCTTTATAACTAAATCAATTAGTAGTATGTAAAAGTGGCTAGGAAATTTTAAACTTTTAACCCCCCCCCAAAGAATTCGATGTGACATTACATTACATACTTTTAACCCCCTCAGGGGTTAAAGCTCCTACAGTTCCGGCCACTCTTACATGTTTTATAGGGGGTTCAAGAGAAATATTTTGCGACCACTCTCAGAATTTTGGGGTATTGGCTTGTTTAAATGTTAATGACGTTATATACCTATTATAAGCACCTAATGTTTACTTGAACCTAATACAACCAGAATATGTGGTATATGAGAAATCATCTGATATTTTGACAGCATAGCTAACTGTTGGTGGCGGTGAACGATTTCCGTCAAAAATGCATATTTTTTTTGCTGAAACATGAAGAAAGAAAAATTAGTCAAGTGCGGCGGCCGCTACCCTTATTTAGGCAAAAGCTTATGATCAATTTGAACGGAAGAAAAATGAAAAATTACTAAGTCAAATCAAGGTAAAATTTATTTGAAATTTTCGACATATCCAGTTTCCGTGTTCACTAGAGACTGAAAACGTGTCCAACTCTATTATAAAAGCTTTGATATTATAGAAACATATGAGTGAGCTTAGACACTGAAGTCTGCGAAAAGTCCCTAAAAGCAGGAACACGGATGAAAGCCAAAATTACCCATTAATTTCGCTACAGCCATTTCTAAACTTTGCATATGCCACTTTTTATCATAAAAGGAGTAGAAATTTTTCAAGTCTTCTAGGAAACGTTTAGTACGTCTTATTAACTGTTTTCTGTAAACAGAAATTAAAAAAAAAACTTCATTCAGCGGACCTGAAAACAGTGGAAAGTTTTTGTTTGTGTTAGAAATTATACGACAAAACATAGTGACTACCGACAAAGCAGCTGAAAGCTTAATTGCGACTTTTGAGGAAAGCTACTGATGAAATTGGAGCAAACTCAATCGAGAAAGCTGAAACACAAACTAAGACAATTTATGTTTACATATTTCAAACTTGATATGATTTTTGTTTCTACAGATTCAAACTTCAAAGATATGGGTTATACTTAAATGATAAGATTTTTTGCTTCTCCCTTAAAAAATTATGCAATTGAATAACTTTTTTAGCCTGATACTACTATCTGATCAAATTGTTACAACATTTTGTATTTAATGTGAATTTGGGTTCAGCTAGAGTTCTCCATTCATAAATTTGAAGCGCTATCAATTGTTATCATAGATTAAGACTTGGCTCAACAATTTGAATTTTGAGTTTTTCTAACATAAATCTAAGATGTTGAAAGTTATCCTGATCACGCTATTGCCTCACCATGATTGGTACTTTTTTGACCTGTTTATATAAACACTCATCTAAAACTAATTGTGTTATGAAGATATCAACCTTTCTTTCATTATAATTTTGAGGTGAACCAAGCTTTCGTATTCACGCTTTGATCACTAGCAGGATCAAAGCAATTAGCATCACGTCATCTCCACTCATTTTTGTTTCGACCTTGTTTTTCGCTTCTAACAAAAGTTGTTTTCGAATAACCCCCTTTGTCATCTGAACATTAAAAATCATAAACTTTATCATCAACATTCTACCTGTTTCTTTGGATTCCATGGTGATGACAGCTGTTTCACACCAAACAACGCTCTCGCACCAATTTGGCTACAACAATTTCTGAAATGTTTTAGCGCCACTTTGTAGTTTTATTGCATTTCGATAAACGTCAACTACATTGTTAACTTCCGACAGAACAGAAAAAAAAACAAATAAATAAAATTTATGAAAATGTGCTTGGAAAAATTGCACAATATAAGCTGCAACGACAAGCTAAGACAACTTCTAGATTGAATTTTTAATGTGGTATAATTTCTAGTACTTTTTGTTTCTTTGCAGAAAATACCTTGTAAACAAAATTGCTGCGCTTCTACCTCTTATTAATAAAACATATTGGTTTCAGCTAAAGCTCTGATGAAAAAAAATGAGAGGGCTGCAATTCATTACTATAGGTGATACTGGTTAACTTGTTCATTCTTGAAAGTTATCTTATAACTGCTTATCTGATTATGGAAGGCTTCTTCTCTTTTTGTTTCCTAATTCGAACTAAGTTCACAGTTCTTTAATTCAAAACAATTAATAAACTGTGTTATTAAGAGATCCATCGATTCCTTTAACCAGTCAGCTAGCCACCCATCCATTAGCTATTCTTCCATCTAGCAGTCCATCTTTCCATCTAGCAGTCCATGCATCCATCAATCGAACCATCGATCAAAAATCCAATCATCCATTCAGCAAGACTTTAACTCATCAAATGATCCATCCATTTAAGCAGCCATCCACCCATCAAGCCGTCGATTCATCTAGCCATCATTTCATCCAATCAGCTACCAAACCTATCCTTCATTAATCATTTCATCCATCTTACGATCTATCAATCTAGCCACCAATCTATCCATCCAGCTAATCATCCAAAAAATCCGTTTGTTCATCGAGCAATACATTTATCTAAACAAACATCCATGAGGTTATCCATCTATCTAGCCATCCTTCCATCCGACCATTCATTTGACCAGCCATCTATTCTTTCATCTAGTGATCTTTTCAAGCCTCCATCCAGCAATCCTCTCATTCATCAAGCTATACATTCATCTAGCCCACTATCCATCAGATCATTCATCAATCTAGCCATTCAAGCCGCCATCCAACCATCCCTTCAACCAGCCAATCGGCTAGCCATCTATCCATTCATCTAGTAATCCATTCAATTATCCATCTATCCAAAGAGCCATCCAACCAACCAGCCATCCATCCATTGGACCATTCATCCTTGCTTTTATATATACATCCATCCAGCCATCGATCAATTCATTCATATATCTATTAATCTAGAAATCCCTCCAGCCAACCAGTCATCATTTCAGTCATCAATTCATCCAATCAACGATCCATACAACAAGCCATCGATCCATCCAGACATCTATAAAACAAGCCTTTCAGCTCTTAAGTCATATATCCTTCTAGACCTTCATGCATATAGCAGTACATCTATTCCCCAATCCATCCACCCATAGAAGCATATATCGATCGGTCCATTAAGCCACACATTGTATCAATTCGTCCAACCAAGGTCTCAACCACCCAGACATCTAGCCATGCTTTCACTGATCCAGCCATCCAAAATCCCTTCATCAAACTATTTACAGTGATTCATTATGTTAAAAAATATATCCAAAAAAAAAAGATTTATACAAGCTGACCAAAAATAAAAGACAACAGATGTCACCGCGTCTAATCAAAAATGGTTATTTTGGTGATACTGCAATTGCAATTAATTGAAATTTGCTTAGTTGTTATGATTATGGTTCATTTAGTCGCATTTGATGAAGTGTAATAATTATTTTTAGCATGATATAACTTCAGAAAATGTTTTTTGTTGATAAGTAAAAAAATTACCTTAACCAACTAATAGAACATTTTGATTGTATTTCTCTATATTTTTTATTGTTTTGACTGAATGAAATAAAAAGTGGTGTCTTAAAATTTCTATGTAGGTGTCCATTTTTTTGAAATTTTGTTAAAGTTTTTTTTTTGCTGGATGTGTACTTCTTAATGTTTGTAATGTGTACAGGTTTTTTCAGTTTTTGTGAACACATATAATATGTAGTTAAGTACTAATGTGTGTATGTCTGCATAAAGGTATATTCGGTTGTGTTTTTTTTACGCTTGCTTTTATCTAATGTGCGTATCTTGGTTTTTTTAGTATATACTTACGTGTAATATACATGCATGTGTGTGTAATGTTTTGTATATCTGCATGCATGTAAGTATGTTTGATTATGTTTTTATTAATGTCTGTATGTATGTATAATGTCTGTAAGGTGTGTGTAAGTTTTAAACTTTGCATCCACGTGTATCTGAAATTAAGTTGACTGACTTGCCTGTGTCTGCTAGCTCATGTTTGTTGTTTTTTGTTGTTAATTTTTTTAAAATGTTTTCATCTTTGAATCTTTTTGAACGCCCGGGTATCCTCTGAGCGCTTCGACGCAATTTACGAATCGCAAATCTAACTGGAATTATAACTTGAACTTTTGCTCATTGTAATTTAAGCTTCTTATTTATTGGAATGTTCCAGAATGTTTCATCAGACAACAAAAGTACGAAATTTTAGTTTGTGTTTGGGAACGCATGTTATTTATGTATGTTTTCATCTCGGAATCATAACAATGGTTGTGAGTATAAGTGGTTTTCATGCAATTTTGTACGTAAATATGGGTGAATCAATGCGCTCACCGAAACAGTTTTGAGACATGTAACCTTAATCTGAAATCTAAACATTAGTCAAACTCTATCTAAATTTGTCCTTGGGTTTCTGAAATATTTTTCTAAGATCTTTTATTAGTACCAAATACTATATATATTCTATGCGAGCAGTTAGTGTGTTTGTCGAAATATGTTTATTTATAATTTATTGTTGTTTTCGAGCTGTATGTCTTCAATTATGCGCTCGATTAGCCATTTTGAGATGTTTGCTTATATTAAGGATTATGACCCTAAAAACTCAATCTTATTTTTGAGACTCAATCGTTAAGACTATGCATGGTTATTCCACTAATGCTATTTAGGTACA